CTTATTTAACGGCCATAAAAATTATTTATATTAAGGATGTCTCCAAAGGTCAACGAAGTTTTCGCAGAAAAATAATATCAGAAATCGCGGCCGCGGTTTGATGCGCTGTTCCGCGACGAAACCAAGCTTTAGCAACGGGCGTAGTCGAACGGTACACACTCGGTAAGCAATCCTACAATTTTTTGTTTATAACATAGTTTATACGGATTATTTTAAAAAAAATATACGTATTTTGGAAATGTTGAGTCGAATTAGCCTAGAATCGATTAATTTTATGAAAGAAAACCTTTCAAACAGCCGTAATCCGTAACTATGATTCCTACAAAATTGATTCATAAAGAACGGAACGTATCTACCGTCTTATAGGGGGATCTACTGTATATTAATTTCTTGTCTTATAAGTGAAAATTGACTCACCAGCTTATCATTACTATTAGTTATCAGTTCAACTATCTTATTCCATAATTCTGCTGTTGAAATGTCTATTTGTTCTGCAGGTAATTGTTCTTGTGAGGAAGTTAAATTAATTAGCTCACATGTTTGAAATGATGATTCGGCTCTTCTAGGTTCAGTATAATCAGTGATCAGGTTTGAGCTTGGTTCCAATGGTTTGATACTATTAGTCAGCAATGTTTGACGAGTAAGTGGTGGTCTTCCTCTCTTTGTTGGAGTTTTCTGTAAGGGACCGGGATTTGGTTCTATTCCAGCAATCAATAACAATAAAATAAGAAGCTTAATATTATTCCTTTTAGTCGAAAATAATTCAGAATTCTACATTTCTTGAAAATTAGACTAAGTATGGAAGTTGGAAAAAAATTCACGCCAACAGCTTTGACGATCAGATTCCCCCCTCCATGGGCTAGAAGTATTATTTAATAATGTATCTAGCTATCTTGTGACAGATTTACCCACAGATGTTGCAATTGACATTCTAGATCTCTCATACTTGTAGGTGGCTGGAGCTGGTATCCCATTTGGTCTTACAAATGCTCAATGGACAACAAATCTGGAAACAGGGCAGCTAAAAAAGTATGGNATAATGTATCTAGCTATCTTGTGACAGATTTACCCACAGATGTTGCAATTGACATTCTAGATTTCTCATACTTGTAGGTGGCTGGAGCTGGTATCCCATTTGGTCTTACAAATGCTCAATGGACAACAAATCTGGAAACAGGGCAGCTAAAAAAGTATGGCAGCATGACAGAGACATTTCTGAGAAACCATAGCTGTGTGTTGTTTCTCAGAAATGTCAATTTAACCATTTTCTAGCAAGATAATGCTGGGAAATGGTTAAATTGTAGACCTACTGTGAAAAACATGTGAGAATGCAATATTTCCTAAGCATACTGCTATGTTGTCAATGTTCCTTGTACTGTTACCAGGGATAACCAACCATCAAGCAAGGTGACAACCCAGACCAGAATTCTAGCAGGGAGCAGTGTACCAGTAAAGAGCAGGATTGAAGTGCTCACCACTTGTCATCCAAACTCTAACACAAGAGATTATTTGTTTTCAAATAGAAGTGGAATTTGTTACTAAAGACATTATGCTGCCATCTGTAGCAATTCATGCTTCTCTTACAGCATCACTGCAAATGAAGTTGATGATGATAGGGTGCTAAACACAGAATACTCAATGGTTGTTGTGCATGCAAATTTGCCTATGTTAGTTTCCTGTCAATGGTATGGGAAGAGACAGCATTCTGTAACAAGGCTTCTATCTATCTCTGGATGGTGTACAAAGATACAGTTTCAGCTATTTATGCCTGTCTCATGTTCAGATGATTATCTCTTCTGGTAGTCTGGAGTGTACAGAGCATGCTTGCCATGTGTGCACTCTCATGTATTCACTGCCCTCAACATCTGTTAGGTTATAACAGCCCAGATGGCAGACAATTTAGCAAGTTGGCTATCTTGCTCTCCTCAGTCTGAAAATGCACTTCTGTCCAACTCCATCAGTTATGCATAATATGTTTAACTATGTCTGATCTTTATTATGCTCTTTAATTTTCATATTACTTAGAATTCTTGTTTGTAAAATTGGTTTTAAGAAAATGTGTATTTATTGAAAGAATATGGTATTAGCGAGGTTGAGGCCGAAGTTTTAAACATGAAAACATGTATGTTGGACGTTCAGCGCCGCTTTCCTGTAAGCCTAGAAGTTTGACAATGGTGTTTGGAAAGTCAGTGGAATCATGCTCGACATTTCAAACGCCATTGTCAAACTTCTAGGCTTACAGGAAAATGCAATGAACATCTGACATACACGTTTTCGTGTTTAAATCTTCGGCCTCAACCTCGCTATTAATAAAGTGTCATTGGATGAGTTTTTGAGTTTTGGATGATGATGATATCATTTTTATAGATTACTTTTGATGATATACTTTCTGTAAATATATAATTTTTAAAAACCTTACTATTAATTTAGTATTTAAAAATTTTTTCAGTGATGCTCTTCCTGCTCTCACATATTATCAAAAGAAAGCAGTTCAGCCAGCTGGATGGAATGCAATGTTAGAAATAAGTTCAAGTTTTAAACTTCCTATCACTGGTTATGTAAAAGTATGTAGAATTTAAAATATATATATTTTGACTTTTTCAAGAAATATTATTTCTGAAATTTTAAGAAATGTTCTTATATAAATCTTAATAGATAACTCAATATAAACTTGGAAAACGGTGGGACACAGTTTTTGCACTTGATCCAAATGTAAATATTATTAGAGAGACTTCTTATCACATGAATGATGAGGCCCAGACAGAAATTAAAAAGGAAGATATTATTGCTGGTAAATAATTTAAAGTTTGTTTAAAGATCAGTTTTATCATTAAAAGATTAGGTACTTAACTAAATAATTTATAATTTTGTACTTATAATAATAAATTATTATAAGCTTTTTATTCACAAAGAGATGATATATTTTGATTAGTACTGAGTAGGTTTCATATTCGACTTCTTTGACAAATATTCTCTGACAAATTTTAATGAAATATTAGATTTTCTGATTAATTGTGATTAATGTAAAAACAAAACACAAAAATACAGCAAAACAAAAGTATATAAGATCAGCAAAGTGTATATCCTACTTATTAGTTCAGGATAAAGTAAAAATTATTTTTTGGTGTTAAGTGAATGCTATTTTAATAAATCAAATATTTTTTAACAGTTTAAAATTTTTCAACTTAGCTTTCTATTAAGATGTAAGAAATCTAAATTGATTTTTAAATATTTTCTGTTTCACATATTCTAGTTTGATTTTATTGTTACTGAAGATGATATTTTGGAATATCAAAAATGTTCAATTTATTAAAAATAAACAAACAAACTGTACATGTTTGAACATACATAAGAAAATTATTGAAGATCATCTGCTGCTCTATAGAAATAGTGTTTTATTTGTTACCTGTATTTGCAAATTAGAGGAGAAAATGGAACAAATGAGAAATCATTCGGGTATATTGTGTATGTATGGGTTAAGAAATAATTATTCAACCATTATAATAAAGCTAGAAAAGTGTCAAAAGTGTCACGTAATATATGTAGAAATAACTGAATTGATGGTCTGAGTGATGTCAAGGTAGAAGATACAACAAAATTTTTTAGATTTGAAGCAGCTAAGTATTTCATATTGAGTTTGAATGAAGGTAAAAACTGTAGATTTATGTTTAATGCTACAATATTGATTGTAATCAAAATTAGGTATAATATGACAATAGAGATAGTCAATATAAGCACAGTTCAAAACATTTTAATAAAGCAGGAGGAAGTGATCTATTTTTGAATTGCTATTAGATGTAAATTTTGCCATTGAGGAACAAAGGCTGCTAGTAATGTTTCCTTGAATAAAAGGGTAAAAATAGAGGCAAAAATGGTGAATAAATTCTGTGTCATTTTGCTAGGGATTGCATTGGGACTAAAGTTAGATGTATTAAGTTTGGTTATGGCATTTTTTATGAGGTGAATGAAAAGCAATCAGTGCTACAAGAAGAGAAATTAAAGGGTTTATAATGGGACTTCTTGATAAAGTGAAGTATCTGCCTTCTAGGTCATGATATATTGGGCTGCAATTTGAAAAACTGTAGACCTATATATTCCCATTGTCATCCATCTGTCTGTTCATCGGTCTCCTTAATCTCAAGAGTGGAGTTAGACAGATGAAATCTGAGATCAGATATGGAAACCGTAGGGGCAGGAGGCCCCAATTAACTACCGGTATATAGGAACTTCTGATGCAAACTGGAAGTCACGTTATTTCAATTTGAAACTTTTTTCCTGAAAGGTGTTAGATAGATGACTGTTAACTGTTACAACTCTATTGCTAACAGAAAAGTATGATGCACAGGGGCAAGACACTATAGTACTAATTTGAGGTGGAGAGCATACATTTTAAATGAAATTAAAAATTGCAGCCTGGCATTGTGATGATGTCACAATAAATAATTGCTTGTTTGGTATGTGTTCAGGTGGGAAAGTGGACTGTGTGGTAGGTTTAAGTTTACAAAAATTAGGCAAAATATTCCAGATTGTTTTGGGATTTGAAGCAAAATTGTTAACTATAGAGTGAAGATATTCCTTGTAACACTTTTGGCAAAATCTAAAAGATTGGTTTAGGATGCATCTGTTAATATATAGATCACATAGATTGCCTGACTTTCTGTCTGCTCCGTTATTACATATAGAATTTGAGTTTTCAAAGAAAAGGGTTGAACCACATAACATTATCTGGAATATTTTATGGTTAGATATTTTAAAATCATTTGTGAAAATAATTTCCATTCCTTTATTTTATTTTTTTAATCTAAATACAGACTGACCCTTTCAAAACCTTTTTGTTTCCACTAAGTTACAATGTCTATTGAGTGAACAAACATTTTCAAATCTCCACCAAGTTCTGCTTCATGTTTGATGGTGTTCCAACTTTGGAATGCCCAGAATTTGAATATTTAAATACCAGATAATTCAAAAGTTCAAAATTCTGATATGCGATATTTAAGTCACAGTCCTCAAACTATTGCTTTGGACAGATATTACATGTATAAAATTACATTAATGTTGGGGATCGTTCTCATATGCATACGATATTGTGTCATTGTCCTTATAGTTTATGCAGTTCTCCATTCTGTCAGTCTTGTAAATTTCTAGTTTTTCCAATGCCCTTATATTGATCAGTTTGGAACTATTTCCTTATGGGAACTTCATTCTTCAGGTTCACATATATATCTGTGTCAGATGTGTATGATGCCAGTGCTGTGGTGTTCGTACCATTGTCTATGTCATATTTATGTTTCTTTAATTGAGGCAATTGGAGCAAAGAATCATTTCCAAATTTAAAGAGCACATCATATTATACAGGAGATATATAGGTGATGTAATCGTGTTATGGAAAAATGCACTGATTGTTAACAATTTTTTAAATGATATGAATGACAACCCATACGGGCTAACCCTCAAATTAAACCAGATGTCACCTTCAGAAGTGCACTTTTTAGATATCTCCATACAAATCTACAAAAAATAAATACAAACAAAGGTATACTATAAACCAGGGTACTCAGTACTATATGTACCAGCGGACTCAGAAGACCCTTATCAATATAAGATTGCTGCTTTCAGGGCGCTGATAAAAAGAGTGTATATACCCGGGGTGGCCAAGCTCCTTGATAGTTCGAGCCATTTTTCAAAATTTGAAATTTTTCGCGATCCGCAATTAAATACGTATTAAAAAGATATGCAAAAAATTCCAGAATACAAATTATATCCGTAGCAAGAGTGACACAAATTGTTTTTTCCAGAGCACAATGTCAACTGTCCATTGCAATGACAGTTTACAAATTCAAATTTGGTCTGGAGTTGGTCGATAACGGATGATTACGCCACTGTTTATGTTCGTTCACGCAGTTTTTGATGAGTCATATCATTCTTAACTTGGACGGAAATGAAATTTGTTACAACGTTGTTGTTAGTAATTTAAAAGACATTTTGAAACACATACGAAAATATAATAACACAAAAGTGAAAAGGGAACTCGGGTACATTTATCGAGAGCCACAAATAATCCTTCAAAGAGCCGCATGTGGCTCGCGAGCCGCAGGTTGGCCACCCCTGGTATATACAAAACACAGGAAGAAAAGACATAACCAAAGAGCTCAAACACCTGGAAGACATAGTGGCTGCCACAGATATAGAAGTATAATTCATAGGTTAGCCCGAGATCAACACACCACAGACACAACAACCGCCCTGAAGTCGGTGGGGTGAGTTCCAACAGGATTCCAGAGCAGGAACAGAAAACTAATACAATTTGCGAGGTTGTCCAATACAATAGAAACCTTTACCACATATATAAGGAAATAGTGGATATGAAGGGGATCAAGTTATCATACACAAGAACCTAAACAATATACAAGCTACTAAGGAATGATAAAGACAAACCGAATAACATGCGGGCACCAGGGTGTATGGAGTACCAATTAAAGATAATAGGTTTCACAGAGACTTAGTATACATAGGATCTATGAAAAGATCATTGCAAAGAAGACTAAAAGAACATAAATATGACATAGACAAGGGTAAGAACACCGCAGCACTGGCATCATACACATCTGACCCAGATATATATGTGAACCTGAAGAATGAAGTTCCCATAAGGAAATAGTTCCAAACTGATCAATATAAGGGCATTGGAAAAACTAGAAATTTACAAGACTGACAGAATGGAGAACTGCATAAACTATAAGGACAATGACACAATATTGTATGCATATGAGAACGATCCCCAACATTAATGTAATTTTATACATGTAATATCTGTCCAAAGCAATAGTTTGAGGACTGTGACTTAAATATCGCATATCAGAATTTTGAACTTTTGAATTATCTGGTATTTAAATATTCAAATTCTGGGCATTCCAAAGTTGGAACACCATCAAACATGAAGCAGAACTTGGTGGAGATTTGAAAATGTTTGTTCACTCAATAGACATTGTAACTTAGTGGAAACAAAAAGGTTTTGAAAGGGTCAGTTACAGGATTCCAGTAATTATGTAGTGTAAAGTTTAATTACAGATTAAGCAATATTGGGAATAATACATACTCTTGACTCATCCCTTATTAATAATAATGGGTTTGGTAATCCTACAGTTTGATAATTTAATACTCACTTTAGTATTTAAATATGTACAAGCTTTGAATTGCAGCAATTGTATTTGTTGTATACAATATTCATTTTAAATTTTCTGTAGGGTTTTGGCTACCATGACCTTTTCATAATCTATAAATACAAAATTTGTAGACAATTTTCACTTTGTTCAGCAATTATTTGTTGTATTGCAAAAATAGCATCTATATAGCTTTGCCCTTTCCTAAAACCACATTATTCTTTCTCTATTATTTCTTCATGATATTTTTATAATTTTATTTTAATTATATTTGCAAATATTTTGATGCTGTTGATGGTAAAATAATGCCTATAATTTTTACAATCACTCTTTATTCTTTTCTTATGAATATTTACTACTAATCCCTTCTCCCATTCATCTAGTATTTGATTCCTTGGGTGTATTCAGCAAACAAAAAAATATGTGGCACTTTAGCTCAGTAGTATAAGGTTGACTAGTATTCAGTTTCTTAATTGACATATGTCATAGTAGTGATTTGGAACTCAGAAGCATAACATTAAACATGATATAAACGTGATATATTTCTGTATTTGTAAATCTCTCTTGTTCTTCCACGCTTATGGTTTTATTGAAGATTTGTTTATCACATTTTAAATTTAAATTTGTGTTTTCACTCATTTTTAAGTGTGAAAAACAGAACAAAAAAATTTGCCATACTAAAGTATTTTAATGCAATAGAGTAAATGACACTTGAACAATGGCAGACTGTTTTGAGAAAGCAGTGACAGAGTGATGTCACATAAGACTACTTTAGCCAGCTGATTCATTAAAGTGATACAGCACTGCTGTTTGTTGAATGTGCCTATTTTTCAGATATTATTAACTAATTTAAGAAAAGTCTCTAAATTTGCTTTCTCAATATTTCTAAAAGTTAAAATATTTATAAAAGTTCTATATTTATCATAACTAATCTCAAGTTTTTCTTGTTCTTTGTTTCTGCTAACATCTAACTAATCCATTGTTATCTATCTAAATAGATATTTCCCTGTTAAGCATGACGGAATACTTTCTATGAGAAAGTAGAGATTGAAGAATTGAAAAGAGTAGAGAGCTTCAAGAAATTCAAGAAAATTTGCTCATATTTCTACAAATTAAGTAGTTTATACTATCTGTTGTATCATAAAGAGCAACAAAACAAAATATCACCTGGCGTGGACAAAAACAGTAGGAATTATAGAGAATTCACTTATACACCCACACAAACAGATGATGGCCTTTACACTGTATTAAAAAATATTAAAATCTTTCTTTATAAAATTTCTTTATACACTATATTCTGAGTAAACATTATATTGTCTTTTAAAAGGTTTACTTGCTATCTTCCTTTAGTAATACATCTTAATATTATTTTGCTTTCTTAAATGGGATAAAACTACGTAGAGTTGACCTGTTTTACTCTTACTCTTTTCCTTAAACATTTCTTTTTGACAAAATAACAAGTATTTTTAATTCTGCATTGATAAAACAAAGATGAATTGTAAGTATGCTAGTTGGATGAGCAATAACACTTCATACATAACGGGCTTGTTAGATTGTTACTTCTGATTGGATAACAGCAGAACATCATGTAGTCAGTGTGGAAAAATTTTTTAAAAATTCATTATAGAAAGGACACAATGCTGCTATCATTTTTTAATTTTTAATGGAGTAAGTTTAAAATATGCCATTTGCCAAAATATTTTAAAATGTGACTTAAAGGAAATTTCCTCATCAAGCATGAATGTCACACGGTCACTGACATCACTGCAATGTAAGTGCAATCACTGATCCAAAATCGATAAAATGTTTATTCTATGGCTAATATTTCCACAAAATAAGTAGCCTATACTTTTCATCAGAACATAAAACAAATATAACCAAAATTTCATCTGGATTGGAAAAAACTGCAAGAGTTATAAGGAATTCATGCAGACAGATACACACACAACAGTTTTTATATTAGTAATAATTTATTTTCAGTCACTTTGTATTCCCATCTTTCTCTGATCTGTTGATTTTTATCTTTATTACATAGTTTATCATAGTGTGTGCAATAGTCTGTCCTCTTCTGATATGTTATTTAAATTTAATTTTTCTATTTTTTTTTTTAAATAAATGTACTTGTGTAAACAGTATGAAACCTCTTTCATGCTCCACTGAGGATTTAATTTATTCTTGGTTTTAATNTATTGGGAATAATACATACTCTTGACTCATCCCTTATTAATAATAATGGGTTTGGTAATCCTACAGTTTGATAATTTAATACTCACTTTAGTATTTAAATATGTACAAGCTTTGAATTGCAGCAATTGTATTTGTTGTATACAATATTCATTTTAAATTTTCTGTAGGGTTTTGGCTACCATGACCTTTTCATAATCTATAAATACAAAATTTGTAGACAATTTTCACTTTGTTCAGCAATTATTTGTTGTATTGCAAAAATAGCATCTATATAGCTTTGCCCTTTCCTAAAACCACATTATTCTTTCTCTATTATTTCTTCATGATATTTTTATAATTTTATTTTAATTATATTTGCAAATATTTTGATGCTGTTGATGGTAAAATAATGCCTATAATTTTTACAATCACTCTTTATTCTTTTCTTATGAATATTTACTACTAATCCCTTCTCCCATTCATCTAGTATTTGATTCCTTGGGTGTATTCAGCAAACAAAAAAATATGTGGCACTTTAGCTCAGTAGTATAAGGTTGACTAGTATTCAGTTTCTTAATTGACATATGTCATAGTAGTGATTTGGAACTCAGAAGCATAACATTAAACATGATATAAACGTGATATATTTCTGTATTTGTAAATCTCTCTTGTTCTTCCACGCTTATGGTTTTATTGAAGATTTGTTTATCACATTTTAAATTTAAATTTGTGTTTTCACTCATTTTTAAGTGTGAAAAACAGAACAAAAAAATTTGCCATACTAAAGTATTTTAATGCAATAGAGTAAATGACACTTGAACAATGGCAGACTGTTTTGAGAAAGCAGTGACAGAGTGATGTCACATAAGACTACTTTAGCCAGCTGATTCATTAAAGTGATACAGCACTGCTGTTTGTTGAATGTGCCTATTTTTCAGATATTATTAACTAATTTAAGAAAAGTCTCTAAATTTGCTTTCTCAATATTTCTAAAAGTTAAAATATTTATAAAAGTTCTATATTTATCATAACTAATCTCAAGTTTTTCTTGTTCTTTGTTTCTGCTAACATCTAACTAATCCATTGTTATCTATCTAAATAGATATTTCCCTGTTAAGCATGACGGAATACTTTCTATGAGAAAGTAGAGATTGAAGAATTGAAAAGAGTAGAGAGCTTCAAGAAATTCAAGAAAATTTGCTCATATTTCTACAAATTAAGTAGTTTATACTATCTGTTGTATCATAAAGAGCAACAAAACAAAATATCACCTGGCGTGGACAAAAACAGTAGGAATTATAGAGAATTCACTTATACACCCACACAAACAGATGATGGCCTTTACACTGTATTAAAAAATATTAAAATCTTTCTTTATAAAATTTCTTTATACACTATATTCTGAGTAAACATTATATTGTCTTTTAAAAGGTTTACTTGCTATCTTCCTTTAGTAATACATCTTAATATTATTTTGCTTTCTTAAATGGGATAAAACTACGTAGAGTTGACCTGTTTTACTCTTACTCTTTTCCTTAAACATTTCTTTTTGACAAAATAACAAGTATTTTTAATTCTGCATTGATAAAACAAAGATGAATTGTAAGTATGCTAGTTGGATGAGCAATAACACTTCATACATAACGGGCTTGTTAGATTGTTACTTCTGATTGGATAACAGCAGAACATCATGTAGTCAGTGTGGAAAAATTTTTTAAAAATTCATTATAGAAAGGACACAATGCTGCTATCATTTTTTAATTTTTAATGGAGTAAGTTTAAAATATGCCATTTGCCAAAATATTTTAAAATGTGACTTAAAGGAAATTTCCTCATCAAGCATGAATGTCACACGGTCACTGACATCACTGCAATGTAAGTGCAATCACTGATCCAAAATCGATAAAATGTTTATTCTATGGCTAATATTTCCACAAAATAAGTAGCCTATACTTTTCATCAGAACATAAAACAAATATAACCAAAATTTCATCTGGATTGGAAAAAACTGCAAGAGTTATAAGGAATTCATGCAGACAGATACACACACAACAGTTTTTATATTAGTAATAATTTATTTTCAGTCACTTTGTATTCCCATCTTTCTCTGATCTGTTGATTTTTATCTTTATTACATAGTTTATCATAGTGTGTGCAATAGTCTGTCCTCTTCTGATATGTTATTTAAATTTAATTTTTCTATTTTTTTTTTTAAATAAATGTACTTGTGTAAACAGTATGAAACCTCTTTCATGCTCCACTGAGGATTTAATTTATTCTTGGTTTTAATTTAATTTAATAATAATATCTTATGGTATGTATTACAGGTTATCGTTACGGGACAACTTTAGTGCCATTTAGTGAAGAAGACAAAGCTAATATGGCATATAAATCATCAGAAAAGGGAATAAAAGTTTTGGGATTTACTAAAGAAGATAATGTAACTAACTTTTTTAAATTTATTTTAATATTTAAAAAAAAATTTTAATTAAAAATTTCTTTCAGATAAAATACCATCATTACATTGGAGATAAAGTAATTTATATTGTGGGTCAGAAAACTAATGAGGTAATTTATTAAATAATAAATAAAATCATAATTTATATGTATAATTTAATATGATTTGTGATTAGTAAAATATTTGTATATAAATGATAACATAAATAAATAAAAAAGATGATAAATTAGGAATAATATAAAAAAGAGCTAAATGATAAAAATATTTATGCTAATTGTCATTAATAAGTAATGAAATACTTCTCTTCTGTGTATATGATGGAATTACAGATAAGTTGATGTGTATTAGAACCAAGAATTTTGGAAATTTGTTTTGAAATTAAGAACATTAAAAACTTTAAGCTTCTATAACATTTCAGACTTAAAAAAATACTTTAGAACATTAGTTAAAGTTAAATTTATTTGTTAAAATCGCTCATTTTAACAGATGTTGGTTACATAGACCTAGATAAAATAACAATATATTAATTTGTTATAATTTTAATTATTTCTATTAGTATTTATGACTTTCTAGAAATTATGCTTTTTCTGAAATTCTTGTAATGTATCTTATATAAGGTATCATTACATTTGAAAATTCTTTAACAAGTTTAAAATCCATCAATACTTATAAACTAACTTTTATTAACATTGACACAGATTTGGTGTATAAGTATAGTGGACTTTAAATCTTCAAATGTACTGATAACTTAACATTTTTGTATGTACTGTACTTAACTTACACAATATTCTAAAGCAGTGTTTTTCAACCAGGGGGGTCGTGAACCCGTGTAAGGCTTCGCGACCCCCCTGGGGGGTTTCGAAGCCTTACACGGGGGTTCGCGGGTACAAGAAAAAGACAAGTGTTTGTAGGTCCTACACTACATTAAAAAAACTAATCCCTTCTCCCATTCATCTAGTATTTGATTCCTTGGGTGTATTCAGCAAACAAAAAAATATGTGGCACTTTAGCTCAGTAGTATAAGGTTNGGGGGTCGCGGGTACAAGAAAAAGACAAGCGTTTGTAGGTCCTACACTACATTAAAAAAACTACAATTTCAGCGAGAATTATGGCCCACCCCAGAAAATGATAGCGGAAAAAGTGTTGAGCTGATTTCCAAAAGGAAATAAAAAGCAGAAAAGTAGAAGCTGAAAATTGAGATCCTAAAAAAAAAAAAAAATGCCGTTAGTGAACAGTTCCATGTGCCTAATGTTACAATTAAAGGAAGTTTCATACTTTGTGTGTTAAATTATTGTCGATTCTGCTGAAACTTTCATTTTAATCAACAATAATTTGTCTCAACAGAAAGAAAATTAAATACATAGTTTTTAAAATCACTGATATAGTTTTAATATGGCCCTAGGGGGGTCGCCAGAATTTTTTGACTTTTAAAGGGGTCGCGTATTCAAGAAGGTTGAAAAACACTGTTCTAAAGTTCTGTTGGACTGCATTTAACTGACTAAATATACTGAGCCACTTTGGAAACTAAGTAGGGAACTTCCAGTGGTATTTGTACTGATGTAAAATTTAAATAAGGTACCTCTTCTACATGCAGTTGTGTTCTATGATATATCTGATATATCCATAGATACTTTTTCTGTATTTGTTGTGATTTGATCTTCCCAACCAATTGTATCATAGCATTGAATCTATGTAAAGGTTCTGATAATGGCAACCAGAGGAGAATTTAAGATGAGTTGTATATGCCTCTTCCTCAAAATACACAATTTGTTACCACTGTCTTGTGAGTTGACTTAACAACTTTTTCTCTGTTACATGCAATAGTAGTCTGGTGCATTTATGAAAAGACATTACCTGGCCTTTATGCCCTTTAGAATAACATTATTTGCTTACAAAAGAAAAAGAAAATTAGTTGTTTGCTTAATTTTACAAATATACTTCTTGTTCTTACTAACTTGAAAAATAAACACTGGTGGAAAGATTCCATTTTTAATTCAGTACTATTATTACTATTAGATTGACTAAATTAATTTTTGCAGTTATATGTAAATCTTAAAAAATATGTTTTAAGATATTGTTATTAATTCCAGATATTTATGTGAATAACATTGTTTATTTGTATTTTTTTTTTTGCACTTGTTATTGGTTCCATGTATGTTATTAACTTTATCTCAGTGTGGTGTGTTGTTATTTACTGTGATTTAAAAAAAAACAAAAAATTATAGTAAAAAATTCTTTGAATTCTTGAAAATTTAATGTTTAGTTTTCTTGTTGAAATAATTGGAATATTTGTTTATATATTTGTGTGTTGACAAGAAACTTGACTTCAAAAACAAATTTTAAAATATAAATAAATCAACTCCATAAAAATAATATAATTTAAAATTATTATATTATTTTCTTTTTATTTCAAGTCTGTGGAAAAGGCATTATCTGCATTTATTCAAGCTCTGTATGAGACAAGTATGGTAGCTGTTGTCCGTTATGTCTATTCAGCAAATTCCCCTCCAAAGTTAGGTTTTCTCTCTCCTCGAATTAAAAAGGAATACGAGGTATTTAAATTATTACAATTATTAATAATTATTTAGAAGAGCCATTGGATTAACTAACATATTAAAAAATTTTTTTAGTGTTTAGTTTTTATACAATTGCCATTTATGGAGGATTTACGACATTATACTTTCTCATCTCTTGATGCAAATGCAAAGAACTTACCAACAGGTAAATTATTACATATTAAAAGGTTTTATTAGTGTAATGTAAAAGTATTTGTCTTAGATGAATCATTTTATTTAATATTAAACGTAAAATGTTCCTTAAAGTTGTAAATAGTTAAGAAAATAAATACTGATTTGATGATTTTAATGTTTTTGTAATTTTTAAAATTTTGTGTATTATAAATATAGCATAAATTATATATTAGGTTTGGGAAAAAGAAATCCATTATTTTGTCGCTAGATGGCTGTAGTGATATATCTATCTTGTAAAGTATTTATGAAACAAGTTCAGACTTGTGCTTGTTGAAAAAGTGACATTCCATACTAAAAAAGTTCTTTTACAGTTTTTTGATTGGTCAATTCAGTTGTGAGTTATAGGGTGTAAAAGATGGAAGTTAACAAAGAGAAAATTGGTATGTTTTACAGTTTTGCTTTGATAAAGGCGAAAATGCAAGCCAGGCAGCTGAAATTGTGAATGGTGTTTATGGTCCTGATACTGTCACAGCCAATTATGTGCAGTTTTGGTTTCGTCGATTCTGTTCTGGTAATTTTGATGTTAAATATGCATCTCGCACAGGTAGGCCCATTGTTGAAAATGTAGATGAAATCATGGAAATGATCGAAGTAGACCAGCCTGTTAGCAGTTGTAGCATTGCCCAGGAGCTAAAGATTGACCACAAAACAGTTTTACACCATCTGCATAAAGTTGGATTCAAAAAGAAGCTCGATGTTTGGGTGCCACACGAATTCATGCAAAAAAAAAAAAAAAAACATGATGGGTCGAATTTCCATCTGCAAAGCCTTGGACAAATAGAACAAAATCTACCCATTTCTTAAACGGATAGTGACTGGGGATGAGAAATGGGTTACATACGACAATATTGTGCAAAACCAATCATGTTCAAAGCATGGTGAAGCAGCTCAAATGGTGACCAAACCAAGACTAATGGCCAGGAAGGTTTTGTTGTGCATTTGGTGGGACTGTAAAGGAATCATCTACTATGAGCTGCTTCCATATGGCCAAACACTAAATTCGGACCTTTACTGTCAACAATTGGACCATTTGAAGCTAGCAATTGACCAGAAGTGGCCAGAATTGGCCAACAAAGGTGTTGCCAACAATTCATCAGGACAACGCCAAGCCACACACGTCTATAGTGACTCACCAGAAACTCCGGGAGCTTGGTTGGGAAGTTTTGATGCATCCACTTTATAGTCCGGACCTGGCACCAAGCGATTACCATCTTTTTTTTATTATTGCAAAACTTTCTTAGTGATAAGAAATTGGTATCAAGAGAAGATTGTGAAAATTGCTTAGTCGAGTTTTTCGCCAATAGGGACCAGGGCTTCTATGAGAGAGGCATTATGAAGTTACCTTTAAAATGACAACAAATTATAAAACAAAATGGTGCATATTTGATTCAAGTCAGACAATCTGAACCATGTTAAATAAAGTCTTGAAATAAACGTAAAAATAATGGATTTCTTTTTCCCCAACCCAGTATTTAATTATGCACGTAACATACATATGTGATTTATGATATAACAAATATAATATCATCGGAACTTCTTAAGTTTGCTTAAACAGATTTCTATCTTTAGGTTAATGAGTTTTTTTATTTTTTTTAATCGTCAAAAATATTTTTAATCTTCATTCATTATGTATATCAGATCTTACTTTTATAAACTGTCATTTTCAATTTTAAATCTATTAAAAAAGATTAAGAAAAATTCTTATGTTTTCCTATTTACTGAAGTCAGGTATTTAATAAAATTGTATTAAAAATATATAAATTTTAATAAAATTCATAGTTATCCTTTTTCACTTTTCTGTCTTTCCATCCCAGGTGAATTTTAAAACAAACAGATTTTAAAAGACTTTAAACCATTACTTTTTGTTGTTCTCTTTATATTTCTCATAAATGCATTTTGATCTTCCAATCCTCATCAGTATGTTAATACATTTCATAGAACAAATTGTTCCCTACAAATAATAAATTTGAAAATTTTCCATCACAAATGCAGTGTGATTAAAATAAGAATCTTTAATATTTAATAATAATTAAACATATAGCAGTTTTTTGGAAGCCACATAAAAGGTATAATATCATTTGGGGTTATGTATTTTTTGTCCTTCTTCAGTCCAATTTATTAAGTAGTTCCCATTTAACATCAACTTCATAAATTAAGAAATTGGACTGAGAAGGGGGGGAAAAGCTCTCAAAACATTAACATTATTCAATTTAATCATTATATTAACAGAATTTACTATAAATTGATTTAGCTGTTTCTCATGGAAACTGTCAAAATCAGACACTTAACTTAAATTTGATACATAGCTAAGCTCTTCCATTTTCATGTAGTAATTTATGTTAAAACAAAATGTTCTTTATTACAAAAGTTCTCAGAAATTTATTTTAACTTAAAATTGAATTCATGCTTATTTTTACTTTAACTTAGATTATACCTCATTACTGATTTATATAGTATTCAAATTGCCCAACTTCAATTAAATACAGTTGAAGAAATGCAACAAAATTTCATTTTACACAAAAGAGTTTGTTTTAACACAGTATTTAAAATATTCTTCAGTATTGTGTTAATATTTTGTTTTAAAATAAGCGTTTTTGTTATGAAAAGTACTTTAACATTAAAGTTAGCTCAATATCAGAAAACTGAACAAAAATAAAAGCCAAGCTTTGATAACTGATTTTATTGAGACCCGATCACCAATGTCTTTGATAAACTAATTAAAAAAAATTGGGATTGAAGAAGTTAATGATTTATAAAGAGATTTACTTAAAATTCCATTTTGTAATTATTAAACAAATCAAAAACAACACAAACATTGAGAATATCACATACTACCATCTCTAAGTAAGACAATTCACTGAACAAATTTGAGACATGACACTTCCCAACAGGAATATTACTACTCATGTAACTTGAGATTGTAGACAACCTGGATGCCTAAAGTCTTATTAATTTAAAAAAATCATAAAAAACACCATGTTTGTTTTTTGTAGTATATTAAATGACTGTTAAAGTTTGCACTCAGCATATTTGTTTCAAAATACTTACAATAAATTAAATAGTGTTTTTGTGAAACAAACTATGCTTTTTTTTGTGGAAAAGCAATGCCATAGTTTGTTGAAACCAAATCTGCTACTTGGACCCAGTTAAACTACAGAAAAAATATGAAAAATCTTCATCCAATTCTATTCATCAGAAGCATAAGAAATTTATGGAGACAGGATCAACACTGAATGGAGAGAGAAGTGGTTGACCAAGACCATAGTCCTAGGAAAATCCATCAGTACTACTCCAAAAACTTACAAATTCTGCATTCAAATGGTACACAAATTTTATTACTACTACACAAAAATGTGTGACTAAACATTTACAAAGGTGTAACTTCAACAAGCATGCTGAAATACGCAACCATATATGAGCCGCTCACTTGCCAAATTGATTAACTCCATAAAACAAAAAGCTTAAAAATGAATAATATAAATTATTTTTAAAAATTCCTTTTAAACTTTAAATGTAAATAAACATTGTAGAATGTATTTTTATATATATCATTATATATAAAATTAGTTATGCAAAAAACGTAAAAATAATAAAGATTTGTAAATCCTTAATATATTAAGGATTTACAAATGGAGTTAATCAATTTGACCCATGAACAGCTCATATATTTCTGATAAACTTACATTCCAAATCTCTAAGATTTGGAATGTAAGATTTTGGTTAACTTTTTCAGATTTCCAAATCCTACATTGACTCCATGGAAACTACATGAAACTAGAGCTAACAGGTGACAGACCTAAGATGAATGTATGGTGTGGTATCTTGCACAATTAGACTTTGTTCTGCAAAGAAAAACTAGAGAGGTTGAGGCGCACGTTTTAAACGTGTAAACGTGTACGTGTGACGTTCGGCGCCGCTTTCCCTTAAGCCTAAAGGTTTGATGATAGTGTTTGGAATGTCGAGCGTAATTCCACCGACTATCCAAACACCATTGTCAAACTTTTAGGCTTACGGGAAAGCGGCGCCGAACGTCACACGTACACGTTTACACGTTTAAAACGTGCGCTTCAACCTCTCTATTAAATTTGTAATCTGTACAAAAGGTCGCTGACGACTTTATAGTTTTGTGTAGCATAATTTTGACTTCAGGAGTTTTATTTCCATTGATTGAATTCTAATTGTTTCTTATTTGTTTAATATCCGTGTCTTTGAAGCAAATGATAATACGGCACAAAATAGATCTCATGTAAAAGTCTATTGCATTTTAACGGGACTTCGTTATTTCATAAAAGGCCTGATACACTTCAATAAAATATCTGGATTTGTCTTATTAATCTTGTTATTTCTTGTTTTTTTACCTCGTTTCTTTCGTGTACTATTAAAATATTTAAAATATCCCACCCGTTTCAAAATGGTTTCATTTCCTTCGGTTGTTCTTTGTATATCCCTACTCGTGTCCACGATTTCAGTTTTCTCATTTTTAATTTTAAGTCCGTATTTTCTAGAAATACAGTTAGTTCATTTACCTAACTTTGCACGCAACTTCACGCGAGAGCATTTAAGAACGTCTTCCTCAAATGTAGCCGTATCCTCGCTACTTCCGATTTCTTCGAGCGAAGCATCGATCGTTATAATAAACAAGAACAAGACATAGAGGTAGGCGGAGAGAATTGGAGAAAGGTGGGTAAAGATTAGACGTAGCACAATAGGGGAAAATGGACGAGTTGACTGGGCTGACCGGATATTTTGTTCGAACAGTCGATGGACGACGATGATGAATCCCCCAATCAAATAAATTAAAAAAATGTAGCAACGAATTGCTTAACTTTTCCGGCAACATTCGGTGGCGCCATCCGTTATAATATGTTATTTTGAAAACTTTTATATTTTTAACTATTATAAAATGGGAAAAAGTTTAATTTTGAGGTTAGGAATGAGTTTTATAAAAAATTGTAAATGCAAATAANTATTGCGTGTTGTTTAACATGTTGGATAATGGGTTCAGGGCTAGGCAGAACCAGAGAGGACTCAAGGAATCTCCTTGAAAAATTCCTCACTTAATGAATATTTCATTTGTTTGTTTGGAGGTGTTACTAACCCTGAGATGTAGTGTTGTTCTCCAGTGCTGCATAGTGTTTTGGAAGAATGCAATGAGATGTATTATGATGATGGAAGAATGATGGATGTATTATGTACGTATGTAGAATATGTAGCAGCCAACTGTGTGGAACATTGTCTAATGCTTTTCTGTAGTCTATATATGCCATGTGTATGTTTCTGTGTTGTTTCTCTGCTTGCTGTAAAATGACTGAATCTATGAGTAACTGTTCTTTGCATCCCCTGTGATTTCTACGGCAACCTTTTTGTTGTTCTGTAAGAACGTTGTGTTCTTCAACATGTTTGTATATTTTGTTTGTGATACAGGATGTCAATAATTTGTAGAATGTTGGAAGACATTTAATTGGTCTATATTGTGTGGGGTCTGTAGTGTTGTTGTTTTTAGGTTTCATGTAGGT